CGTATTTCTCTCCAAAATTCAGACTTACGATGATTCAAATCCAGTTTTGTTTGTTGAAATCAAAGTTTCATAAACCATAAATATATATACAGTATGAGTGTACTTTAAGTGCTTTGCTTGTGGTGTGTTCAAGCGCTATTCAATAGACTTGTTTTTTTGTTTGTGTCTTCCTAATCTGAATTATAGTAACTGGAGAGAGAGAAAAAGAGAGACAGAAAACAATTAAGATGGTAAAATAAGTAGAAAAGCATCCTCTGATCATTTGTAGCCTCGTGTTATGGCAGCAGCTCTGAGTTATGATGATGCTCTACTAATGGAGACAGCAATAACTCTTTTATGTGCTGCCGCCAGCCTTTGTGTGCCTGGAGGGTTTTATTACATGGCTTACTGTGATACGTTCCGTTACTAGCACAATGCACAGAGCTGGTAGGCTGAGTGTTTGGATTGGAATTAATGTGTTGTGCAAGATTTGCATTAGCTGTGATGTGCATCTGTGTGCCTGTTGATCAGAAACCATCAGAGAGGAGGCTGTTGCTGTGCGAGCATGGACTAGTGTCTTCATTATTCTGCCTCTGCTTGGATCTGCTCTACTTATACAGCCCTATTATTCAAATACACAACTCCCCCTCCCTGGCTTTCCTACACATATATCTCTGCCCTGGATGGCCACCATCTCTCTCTCTCCCCTCATCATCATCTCACCTGATATGTCTCTATGGAGACCTGTGATATCTCTCTTACACACACTCATACATACCAATGTCATTGCTTTACAATGCAATGATATACTCCTGTGGATCCTTAAATACCCAGTGTGCTCATTCAGTGGCTGTGCCAGTCACTCTGCATGAAGTGGCTCTTGGTTCATAAAGATTGGTTCAAATGATGAAATATTTGATAAATAGGACATAGCACTTTTTTTATGCATGCAAATGCTAATTTTATGTCCCCTGGGACTATTACTGCTGAGTGAAAATGATATCTTAAAAATTTAATAAGTTTTAAAACAAGATGCAAAAAAAGATGCAGCATCTTGACTTGTTTGTTCTGCCAGAGACACGTTTTGCTGTGTTAATAAATACCTCTAACTGAGTATTATGTTTTGCTGTCGTTTCTTGAACGAGCTTACACTGTATCAACAATAAACTGAAGTATATTCATACCCTGGCTATTCAAGATATACAAAACTATACTATACTATGTTATGCTATAACAACCTATACTATACTGTACTACGCTATGCTAAACAAAACTATACTATACCAAACTATTAAGTACTATACCATAATATGCTATACACAACTCTAATGTACTAAACTATACAGTTCTATACTATACTATACTATGCTATGCTATACTATATTCTATCATACTATACTATACAGTACTATACTATGCGATGCTATTTTATACTATAATATGCATTGCTATACTGTACTATGAGGATTTGAGCGACTTTAACAAGGGCCACATTGTGATGGCTAGACAA